AGTTTAGCCGAGCGCGCTTTGTAATTGGGAGGTTTCGCGCTGTAATCAGAACGACTGTTGCGCGAGAGCTTGGCCATGCTCTAGTATTGCTGCTTGCGTGCTCGTTTTTAAGTGGACGACATAAAGACTTGTTGTTTTCGTGCACTCAGGAGACCGGGAGGCTTCGCAGCGTGGCTTATGCATCGCAGTGTTGGCCGTGGTTCCGGCTTGCGCCTGCAGTCTGAGTTGGCTTGGTGCTCGTTTAGTTTAGAGCGCATATGCGTTGAAACGCCGAAACGGAATGTATTCGGCCCTGGCTTTGTGCGGGCCAATATTTGCCTAGTTCAATAAAGCTAGTGTCAGTATCTCATACATGCAGCACGTGTCAGCGATGAGGAAGGGGTGGGCACGTTTTCCGGATTCCCAGGGAGTACGACACCAGCCCGCTCAAGTACAAGATATCACAGCCATTGCAGCGTTTTTGTGCGAGCGAGGCACTAGAGCTTAGCACACCTTTTGACAGACAGTGGCTGGGAGGTGTTTCGAAGAAATCAAAGGTGAGACGGACTCTGGTGTGTGGGGGATGCTTTCGTGGCTTACGTAATAGTTATGCATCTACTCGTGGGACGCTCCAGGATCAGAAGGACGAGGAAAGGCTAAGTGCAACACTACCTGCACCCTGGGAACTCTGCTAGCGAAGTAGCCAAGCGAGGCGCACGTTTCAGTATTGCTCCCTTCAGTGGCCGTTGCTACCTGCACAACGTCCAAGCTTAATGCTTTGACGCGGAATGCGGGTGGTTTCACAGCGTGGCATCGCAATGGCTATGTTGAGGGTGAATTAGGCTTGGGTCTGCAATGTGAATTCGCGTTGCATGCATGCAGTCTGTCTGTGGACAGTCCGATGTTGAACGTATTGGGCCCTGGCTTTGGGCAGGCAAATGCTTGCCTAGTTCAATAGAGCCGTGTTCAGTCCGTCCTACATGCAGCAAATGCGGTTTTTTTTTGAAGGTATGGTAGTCGCAGAAGTGGGGCAGCAGGTGTGCCTTGTGAGAGACATTGAATGGGGGGAGATAGGAAGACTGCAAGGCAGGGACGGCGATGTATCTCGCGGTAACACGGTTAGCTTTCGTACTAAATATGTCTCTAGCCGTATGG